CCCTCCTAATCTCTCTCTCTCTACCCTTTTCCATCCCCTTTGAGCACCCCTGACATCCCATTTCATCCCCCCTCCCCCACGCCGCTCCCCCATCCAATCCAGCCACATCCCACCACAGTTTAGGTTGCAGAGTGTAAAATGATGAAGTGAAGTGAGTCAAATACTCGTCGTGGCGGTGGTAAATTCTTAGTTGTGCTCATCCCTGGCCTCATGCCAACTCCTATCATCCCCCTCGCCTTCCTTCCCGAACTGAAGCCGGGAATTGGTGCGAGCTACCCTCTCGTCCATGGAACGCCCGGACAGGAACCAGGTCAGCCAGACGAGGAAGAGGAAGCAGGAGATCCAGATCAGGATTAGACGGGGGGAGCGCGGGGTGCGGGGGGCGTAGGGGGAGAAGTATTGTTTTGCCATTGCTGCTCCTTTCTTGCGCGTTTTTCTGGTTGGGATGTGTGGTTGTGGTTGTAGGGTGTGGATGAAAGTTGGTGGTGGTATGTGGATGTGTTGTGTTGTAACTGTGTTGACGTGGTGGTGGTGGTGGTGGTGAAGCTTGATCTTGGCGGCAGCTCTTCGCAGATGTCAATGCCGTTTCCTCAAGCAAGTCGACGCCTCTTCTCTGAAAACGGAGATTGAGTCCCAATTATGCCGTACAACCAGCTCCGTTTCAGTCGACCGGTTCAAAAAGACAAAGTTGAGGCTCAAAAAGCAACAAAGTGACGTTGTTCACTTCCAACTCGAAGCTTGAGCTTAAAGAGCTCCGAGCTTCCGGTTCTCCAATCGATATGGCCTGTGCTCAAGCTCTCACTCCTCACATTCAACCCTAACCCGATCAACATGTTCGAGTCAGTCAAGGACTCCAACACCACAAAAAGATCCACCGGTATGGAGAACAAAAAACATACAACACCAGGGATTCCCCAGTGGTCACCCACCTGAGTACTAGTCTGGCGATCAGCTGTTTGACTAGGGGAGAGCGGACGGGATCCCGTATTTTCAGCTGTCTGTGGTCGTATGTGGTTGTTCGGGGCGGATTGTGTGTTGATATGTGATGGGTTTTATGAGAGGATAGTAGCCATGCTTAGCAGTCCCAAGTCTAGGTGTAGAAGGGGCAGCAGACATATGAGGTGTTCACACCACGAGAGAATTCTCGCAAGGACATTTTCAACAGTCCCAAAACTGGAACAATACAAGAATAAACATCTTATAACACTGCTATGCCTATCGCATTATGCAGACCCTCCAGGCATCCGAAACCATCGCGCCCTTTCCTGTCCCACAATCACCTGCATTCTCTCCCTTCTATGTCTCTGTGTAAACTGATCTACCCAGCAAAGGCATTCCCCAAATCATGCTCCTATATCACTTGTTAGCACATCTCTCTCTCCCACTAATGTCAAGGGCAATCTCACCTTCATATACTCCCCCCCTTTCTCCTCATACTCCTGCCTCGTCACCCTCGCCCTCCTGCACTCCCCCGTCCCCGCCCACCCCGCCGCCCCCCTCCAAACAATCCAACACCGCATCCCCCGCCCTCCAAACCCTCAACTCAATCTTCCGCAGGGAACAACCCCGATGTATTCTCATCTAAACCTAATGGTAAACGGTCAAGAGAACAGCATACCTCCCCGACTACAGCTGCTTTCCCATAAATATCCCTAACATAAACTAGCCCCTCCCCACACCATAACAAATTACCAAAACCAGAAATGTACACAAGATTGTGTAATATTTATAC